ACGCCTCCAGGTACTCGGCCAGGTGCTCGCAGGCGTCCTCGAGCTGGTTCTCATCCAGGATCACGTCGAACATCTCCTGCGCAAACAGCAGCGGTTCGGTTCATGACAACGTTGCAGATCAGAGAGGTTTTACACAGGTCTCATCACGCAAATCCCTTGCAGTGAAATAAATGATGATTAAGAGCGTGAGGACTGCAGAGAAACGACCTGACTGGGTCTCAAAGGGATGAAGAGCCGCAGCTCCCTGGAGCCCGGCAGGCCCTGCCCGCGGCCGCCACGCTCCGAGGTGCAGGACGCCAGCGATTCCTTGTTTGGCTGGAAAGCTACCGCGATGGAAGAGATGCTCCGAGTGGGACGGCCCAGGGACGCCTCGCTGGGGCCCTGCGTGCAGCCTCGCACGTGTCCTCCTGCCCCGACACGGACACGGGTCCGGACTGCGCACGCTGCTCCCCGGAGCGCGGAGCGGCTCTCCCGCTGCCGCGTGTCTCCGGGGGGAACGGGCCGGTGCCTCCGATGCCGCCGTCCGCGCGGCTCCCTGCGTCCTCCCCGAAAAAGGAATACACGCAAAAACAAAATGTTCCCCTGCTTTTTTTTCCAAATTAATTACTTTAAATTTGGTCCCACTGAGAAAAATAAAATGGTATTTTCAGCAGCGAAACTTTGCACCTCATCTTCAATTTTAGCTCTCATCTTAGTGGAAAAAACCTATTGTGAAAACATCACAGGAAACGAAAAGTGCAGGTGCTGCAGGTGCTCAGAGCAGCTGATGCAAAGCACACGCTGGTTTTCCCCCATGCATATTTATAGATGTACTCAGCATACACAGAACCGAGTCTCCAGGATAACAGGTCTCTAAGATGAGATACAAAACCACATAATGAATTTATCATAACCTTAATCATGCATCTACCCTCTTCCCCAAAGCCTGGCCCACCCTTTCCCTTCCTCTTCCCCCACCATCCTGGCACAGAATCGTCCCCCTCTCTGCACCCGGGCTCACATTTCCCTCCTTTGCCGCCAGCGCCACCAGGAACCCCCCAGCACCACAGCCCAGACCAGCTCTGACCTTCCCTCTACACCAGAGATCATTTTGCGTTGTAGTAATAAGAGTGATTCATAAAACTAAAACTACTTCTAGTCTGAAATTGTCTGAAACATCTGAAATTTGGAGACGTTCAAATTTGGACACATGGGACCCAAATTCTTCTCCACGTGGGTCTCACTTTGCCCCAGACAACAAGGTGCAACAGCAGAGCAGGTACTAGAGTCCACCAGGCCCCGCTGATGTGATGGCACCGAGAGCTCCTTGGTGGCCACTGGGCACCTCGGCCACCGCCACCCGCCTCATCCCAAGCCCTGGGCACAAACCTGGCTGGGATCAAGGGAAAACACTGCATGAAAGAGCATGTAAGGTGCTGGAATGTACGCTGGCTTCTTTATGTGGGTGAACAAATAAACACACCTCGGGAATATGGGGGATAGGAGGTAGGTTGCTCTCCAGGTTAGCTGGCAATGGCTGCGACGGGTAAATACCACTAGCCCGGTTCAAGGTGCGGGTGAGATTCCTTTTAACTCGGCTCATGCCCATTGCAAGCTAGAAAGGAATATGCCTTTACAGGAATTATTTCACACTAGAGAAACGTTCGATATCGTTTCAGTTAACGGGACCTGAAGGGCCCACAGGAATTCTCCACTTCACTTTAAGAGATACAATTCAGTGGAAAAATACGTGCCAGTAACATAATACAGGCAGCTGGGGCAGAACTCGAGAGGGCCCAGGAACCTTTCGGGGCTGCTCCAAGGGCCGGGCTGGGATGTCTACGGTTACTGTAACCAGACGCTCCCAGAGAGCTGCTGCCCTCCCCGGCGAGGGGGGAACAACCTGCTCTGGGGGTCAGGTACAACCTGAACTCAGGAGCTGCTTCAGGCGGCTTGGAACGTGTTTTAGAAAGCAGATCCATAATGAGGAATTGCCCCGCTCCATGGCAAAACCCAGGACGACGGCGCAGAGGGAGGCCCAGTCCGAAAGGTGCCCACAACCCAGGCAGAGCAGGGGACAAGGGGACCATTTAAACGAAGCGGGAGCAAAAGATGAAGCTTTTTCCAGGCCTCCCTTCCTGTGTTTTCCATAGGATGGAGCCCCAGCTCTGGGTGTCTCGAGGACCTCAGAGCGCTCCAGGAGATGCGGCTTAGCCTCAATTCCCACCAGGCAGAGCAGGTGGAAGGGGAAAACACCTACTGCTACACACAACCCAGAAAGGCCTGCGGTGTAAGTTAGTGTCTTGGAAATAAATGCTTGTGGGTAGTTATTCCAGAACAGAAACTGTTAAAAACAAAAGTTACTGCAGAATAAAAAAAGAACTAAAGAGCTTTCATTTGAATTGAGGGTAAAAGCCACCTGAAACATCAGCATTATCTTTAAGGTCTTTATAATGGAAAACAAAGTCTGCTTCTAAGCATTATCTGACCGTTAAGGGTTGGGCATCTGTTTTGCTGATCTCACCTCTGAAACTTATTCCTGGATCCCTCCAAGACATTCCTTCTGACAGTGCTTTTTAATCAGACAGAATCAGCATGGGATCCTT